TTCTCAAGCTTTTGTTGGTTAGGGGCCCTTTGGGTACATTGTTGAGTGATGGATTGCCTTTGGCCGGCCTCTGTGCACCCTTCTGGTTACCAGGCTTGTTGCCCCGATTAACTTGTGTGGGAGCCTCCGGATACTAGCTTTGAGACGGTGTAACAGGCTAAAATTGCATAAATAATTCTTACCTACTTTCAATTTTCTATCCAAACTCTCCTTAAATTTGTCAACATTTTCACTCTATAAAATTTCAACAACAATCTCAACGGTTGTACAATCCTGTAAATTTCCTAATTTTCAATAGTCAAATTCTATTTTCATTTGTTACTAGTTCCTGTTAATCCATATTTTAATTCAATTTCAAAATCAAAACAAATCAATATTTTGATTCCAATTTTAAATTCAACCATCTGTTTTCATAACAAAAATAATTAATTCATGTGTCAAAAATATTTCGTGGGGTTAGGTTCCGAAATTATAATGATCCGTTTTCAAGTGTATGTACAGAACTACTCCGTTCGTACTTACTCTGTTCGGTTATTGAGCGCTATTGATATCGGTGCAACTTCTAGTGAACCCCGGGTCGATCATTGGTTCGATAGCCTTTTGAGATTTGATGCATTATCCTTGCTTTCGGTTTTTTGACTTTTGCTTGTCCATAATTTCTGTCAACCGGCGGTCCATTAGTAATGTTTTTGGTATCGTCGATTCTTCTTTAAGCCCGCTAATTTTGCAAACGGATCACTTTCTCTATTTTGGATTCTTCAAGTTATTATTGTTTTATGGGATAATTATTTGTTGTTAATATCATTATTCATCAGCCGTTGTCATTTTTCTCGGATTGTATTGTTGTGTGCAATTTTTGGTAAGTAAAAATTCTATCGATTAATTTTTGATGTTTGTCGTTATTCCGAGTCATCTCTGAGTCTGAATTCCTCCCTTTAGGTTAGCCTATTAATCGAATGTGTAGCACATTTCTTTTCACATCTGGACGTTGGAGAATTAGGGTCTTTTTGAAGATTGTCTTCGCCCTTGTGGGATTTCGACCCTAAATTCTCATTTGAAATTATAACATATTTAGTTGCCTTTTTGCCTTACGTTTTCGTAGTGTTATAATTTTCGCCGATTAATTCGGATTTTTACAACTCCATGTGGTAAGTTGCTTACACGTTTTTTTTCCCATAGTAGATTCTGACTTTTTCAATTTAATTTAGTTAAAAGCTGCCCTAAAGAGTAGAGTATTCTCACTCACTCTAGGATATCCAATCCTCGATCCAGATTTCCAGAGATTTTCGAGGCAAACAAACCCTATTTCCAACAGGTAAAAACCTTATTAACTTAAATTTTTGCAAACTCGAGGCACATTTTTCTTAATTAATATCAAAGCTTTATTATGATTCTATCTAATTTAATTAATTAATACATTATTGTTCAATTTTTCTATTAAAATAATTTTCAAGACCTATAGTCTTTTTATCAAGTAAATTTGCTATTGGAAGCTAATTGAGTTACATTATAGCTTCATTTTTTAATTCAATTTATTCATGAAGTGCTTCGCTATTGGTTCAATTACAAATACAGTGTGTATAACAATTTTTCTCTTAGGGTTTTACGAGGGGATTTATTTCACCACCGAATTTTTACTCCCGGTTACAACAATAGACGTTCAATCGTAACCGAAATTGAACTAAAAGGCTATTAGACACCAGCCTAAGTAATTGGACGGTTACTCAAGTCATCAATCAAGTTAACCACAACCAGTAGCCAGGACTAATCTGGTTAATTGTATCTACTACTACCACCTGAAACATTTTGGTATCGTACTAGTTTTAGTTAACTTATATATTATTATTGTTTATTTACATCCTGTCCCTATTTGTACACCACAGTGATCACTTTCGTTATTTCAGGGAATAATTCATTGCTTGCCCCAGTGTGGCAAATGAACTATTAAATAGGTAACTTAGCTAGGCACAACCTGATGAATTTATGTCAACCTACTGGTAGTTCTGGTTACATAAGTGTAAGATAACCGCTCCAACTTATTATTCATTTATTTATTTTTTATTTCTCTTCAATTTATATTTACAACTTTTCTATTTATACCTTTTTTTATTTTTCATTTGGTTATTGAGTTTCGATAACATTTTTGCATTTAAATTTCATTGTTCATGACTATAGCAATTATTTCAAAAGTATAGCAATTCTGTATTTGTTAGTTAACGCTTCATGACAAGGTCATTTTTTTAATTGCTCATTTACTTGATTATCGTTATTATTATTTTTTTATGTCAATGCCCATATCGTTACATTTGGTAGCATTTGGTAAATAAACTTACTATAGCACTTGATTTGAATTGACTTTTATTTGGTTTTATGCACACAGCCTAGTTTTTGCTAATATTTTACTTTATCTAAATTATTATTTGAATTGTAAGGACCTGAAGCCAGATACCATCCTGGAGAGTCCGACTCATCTGTTCGGAGTCGGTGGCGCCCAAAACTAAAAACCCACCCCTACTCTCCGAATTATTTAGTTCTGAGCTAGGGCATAATTTGCACGCACTTTGACCTTCAGTCCTACAATCTCAAGTTCTCCATTCAATTATTTTTTTCTACAAACGTGTTAAAAATGCAATTTTTAACACCCCCTCGAAGCCTTAAAAATGTTACTTTATTGCACTAGTGTTAAAAGTCTTTAAGGCACTAGTGTTAAAAATGAAACATCAAAATTTGAAAGCAAACGTCAAAAAAAGTTTGTATTTTTAATTATTTACATTAATATTAATGGTAAAATTTGAACAACTGAGGAAGCTCCATCGGCCGCCTCCTCTATATTTTTCAAGGGATTGATGCAACCCTCTCTTTCTTGTGTATTTTGTTGCATTTTTAGCAAAAAGCTTACTGACCACGATAGACCATACGACAGACTTTCAAGAAACTGACGAGACATTTCATTACCTGTAAAACAAGGTGCTGGTTGTTTGAATTTTTTGACAAATATCAAATTCAATAATTTTACGTAGGAAAGATGCTTCCAATTTATTATTCATTTAAAAATCCAATTTGTCACTGGTTATTGCTTGTTATTGCCGTTTGTAGAAAAAATATTGTATGATATTTGTGTTAAAAGTATTTTTAAGGCACTTATGTGAATTGCAGAATTCGCTTCGCTCATTCTGCAAACTTTCACATGCGTGCCTTAAAAATGTACTTTTAACACTTATATCATAAATAACTATTATTTATTTTTTTTTTTTTTTTTTTCTAATTTTTATTTTATTTTTTTTTATTTTCGACTTTTATTTTTTTTTATTTTTTTTAATAAACTTTTTTTAATCAGCGAAAAAGCGTGTCAACGGGGTCTTGTTGGGCAGCCTCATGCAACTTTGTCTTCTTCCGTCTTCTGCGTTCGGCCCCACATATGTTGGACCTTTTTACCCTGATCTTTTTCAGGCTTTTCGAGAAGCCCTCCACGTCTAAGGTTCCTTTCAGTTCCTTGCCTCCTGGACGAGCATCTCTTAGCCTGTCTGAGCTGGGTCTCTGTCAGGTTCCCTGTTCAGTCGAGGTTACATTTGAGGGTGCTGCTGGATTTCCCTCGTTTTTTGTGTCGGGCAGGTCTTGCGACTCGCCTCCACATTTGTTTTTTTTTATTTGGTTTTTCACACAGGTTTTTCAGGATTCATTTTGATTCCCACGAGTATATGAGGTCTGGTTGTCACCAGCTGCTGCCCCTCACAGCACCATTTCCGTGTTCGAACAGTGGTTCGAACACTAATTGACAAATGTATTCCGAGCGCGCTCGAAAACCATACTCGGTGCAGAGTTCAGCACTGATTAACATCATTGGAAAGAGCATATTAAAATGCTTGTTACAATCTCAAAGACGTTTGATGTTTACAAACGACATTTAAAACGTCTTGCTTACGTCTTTAATAAGGCATCTCAAAGATATCTTTAAGACGCCGTAATGTTACAAAACCCAATGTCGAGAGATATCTGCTTAGAGACGTCTTTAGGACTGAGACATTCTAAAGACTTTTTCCAACGAGATGTCTTAAAGACGTTTTTGAATCTCTTTTCAATACATAAACCATTATTCACTGTTTGGCTTGTTTGTACCAAATAGTTGTCTGTAAGATATGAATCTACGATATGTTATGGTCATCTTCAAAACAACGTCTTCTCGGAGTTTTTCTGATCTGTAGACGTTCTGATGTAATTCAGACCTTAAAAAGACGTCTATAAGACTTTGTGAGCTGTCTGGGTAGCTGACCATCTCGTATCTATTATCAATTACTCTTTTAACAGGCGTTCATCGGGAATGTGAAATTAAGTTCGGTGGACTCTACCCGAGTTGGGAATCCCACAGCTACAGAACAGTATTTCCGATAGTATGCGTGGTGGTGTGGTACGTCTCAGGGCGCGAGGTAACCAAAAGATATTTGATTTCAGAGTCAATTTCGTCCGGGCCCTAGGCGGCCGCCTAGTGGTAAAACCGGCGCTGACAGTCACCCTAGTTGCGTGGAAAGTTTTGGTTTCCTGGACGTCCCTGGTCAAGGTTGCTCGAGAGCGTCTATGGTGTAAATTTGACCAGGAGCATGGGTTAAGGTGTTGAGTGTCTGCCAATTGAAGTTTTTATCACTTGTGGGCGGAGAGGATCAAGTTCGCCCCCCAGGTGAAAAAGACGGGTAGATGGTTCGAGCTCAGGGCATTGATTGCGACAGGATCGAAGAGTTCCCTGAGTCCTTTGCTGATCACAAGGTCGATGTAAGTCGGTGTCGTGTTAGTGCTAGAATAATGGGTGGGCTGTACTGAAGTACTGAAGAGTATCAACTCCGGTCTGTCGTTGACGAAATCATTTAGAATCATACCGTTTAAGCATCTCTAAACATAAGTAATACTGAACATTAGATAAGTTTATTAATTAAAATTGTACAGTAGAGTAGAGTATAATTCGAAAATAATTATGGTGATTACGATGGAGCCAGAGTAAACGGTAGTACAAGAGCTCTTGTCTATGGTCTCTTCGATAAAATCCAAATAATGCGCTACTTTAGCATTGACAATCATAGAAAGTTTCTCTTTATGGGCGATACCAATAATACCAACCTGCTTATCTTCGTATATCAATGGCCCTCCACGGTCGGAAGAACTTGGGTGAACGTTGTTCGTATCGAGTTTAAAGCAAAAAACATTATCTCCTTCTTCCTCGCACTCTTTATTAGGAACTATTGCAACATAACCACCTCGGAGAATATTTTGAGTGATGTCAGCTAGGTTTGGGATTGACCAGAAACTTGATTGTGTGAATCCAAATCCCATGATCTTAAATGAACCTCTATATTCTACAGAAAAATTACTGGTTCCTTGCCGATTGGGAAGAGTTACAAATCCGATGTTGCCTGGACCCGCATGTAATGATTCTGACAATTCCAGAAGGGCAACTGATTTTGTTGGATGAGTGAAATTTTTCTTAATGTTAACCGTTCGACTATTCTTAGTACGATCAGCTAATACTACTATCCTACAATGGCGGTAGCTACTCATCAGATCAGTAACGATACCTGAAGTTAGTACAAATGCTGGTGCAATCAGCGTTCCTCCACCCAGGAGTCTGAACTGATTATGGTGTTCCGACTCCACTTTAACGACATATGGATACGTGTATGTAGAAAGTGTTTCTGCAGTTATACTTCGCTCTTCCGGAGTTTTAGTCTCATTAGGTCTAGGACTGGAATCCGACAATGCACGCTCTTCCGGACTTTTAGTCTCATCGGGACTGGAGGCCGACAACGTATGCTCTTCCGGACTTTTAATCTCATTAGGACTGGAGGCCGACAGCGTATGCTCTTCCCGACTTTTAGTCTCATTAGAACTGGAGGCCGACAAAGTATAATGACTTGAAACTAAGTAGATTAGGAGCAGATATTGATTTATCATTTTGAGTTTTTGAAAATTTTGACTGTAAACTTGACAATAGGTATTTAGACGAATGGTGGGAATCGGAAACAACGAAAATGTGCATAGAAAACTGTAATTGATTGGAAAGCTTGCGTTCGGTATTTTGGTCAAAGAGCGTGGCATGCAAAGTAAATCGATCTTGTATCGATTTATTCTGGGTTATAGCATTGACTTACGTGTTATTAAATTTTTCTACGGGTGTGCGCAAAGTATCTACTTTGCGCACACTTTTGCGTACGCAAAGAAACCCTAACCCAAAAGTGTGCGCAAAGTAACTACATTGCGCACACTATGCGGGAAATTTTTTTTCCCGCACACTTTTTTTCTGGTACCCATAATAAAATCCGGGAGCCCCCTATTTGGGGGGCAAAGCCCTGCGAGATTCTCCTATTTGGGGGGGCGGGGCCCCACGGGAGCCCCCTTTTGGGGGGGGGGTGGGCCCCCTATTTGAGGGGGCAAAGCCCTGCGGCGAGGGGGCCAAAAAAATATTTTGCATAGTTAGTTATAGCAAGTTGTCGTTTTTGATGAATATAAAAATTAAAAATTTGAAAAAGAAGTAAATTCTGTTTTTTTTTTTAAAGATAATTCTCCAAGTCAAAAATTTAGTAACTATGTTGGCAACACAAGCCTTTTCTACATAAAAAAATTGAAAGCATTGACAATTTCACATTGTATTGCCAACATAATGTCATTTTGACTTTTATCTTAAAAAAAAAACACAGTTTATAGTTATATCACTTGTAGAAAAAATATTGTTCCTAACACGTGCGCAAAGTAGTTTTCCCCGCACTTAAAGCTTATCCGAACTCCGCTTCGCTTCGTTCGTCTAACTGCTTTCGCGTGCGGGAAAACATAACTTTGCGCACTGATTAGGAAAACCACTATTTAATCTAAAAATTGCTGTCAGGATTTGGTTGAGTTGTATGCCTCATTTGTTCCTTTTTCAGAATTATTAATTATCTTTGGCTAATTAATTTTTTTTTTGGTGTGTTTCTGAATTCTCACACTTTTTATGTAATTTAGTTATTCATTTATTTTTACAAATTCAGTGGCGCTGTTGCCATTCTGTACTTATTTAACTATTGATCTACCCCTAATACAGGGTGACTCAGAGTAAATTTCCCTTTTCGAACGCGCCCTGTACATCCAACTTAATATTTGTGGGGAGGTTAGCATTGGCAATATGCGGCGACTGCGTGCGGATTATCAGTGAACATGGAGCAGTGGTCGAACGAGCAACGCGCGTTCATGGTTGAGGCGTTTTTAAAATCGAATGATTCTTATGTCGCGGCACGGCGACGTTTTTGTAACCGTAACCATATCCGACGTATACGAGACGCTACGTCAAAAAATTTATTGAAATCGTGGGTTCAAAGATTCAAAGTGGTACAGTGGCAATTGTCAAATCAGAAGCGTCCCGCCATGTTTTCGAATTGAGCGCCTCGGATTTTCGGTCGCACAATTCCAATGTTCTCTGGCGTTTTGATGGACTTCTGTTGGCCGGGACGCTTCGGATTTACCATTGGACCACTTTCTCTGAATCCTTGAACCCATAATTTCAATAAATTTTTTGACGGAGTATCACATATACGCCGAATATTGTAACGGTTACAAAAACGCCGCCGTAACGCGACATAGGAATCGTTTGATTTGAAAAACGCCTCGATACTAAACGCACGTTGCTTGTTCGACCACTGCTCCATGTTTACTGATAATCCGAAAACAGTCGCCGTATATTGCCGGTGCTAACCCCTCCACAAATATTAAGTTGGATGTACAGAACGTGTTCGAAAAGGGAAATTCACTTTGTATTTATTCGCCGAGGAAACTGAGCATATTATGGGCCTCTTGTTAATTCGTTAACAAAAGGGGTTACAAACTATTTAAAAATGAAACCAAAATCCGAACAATTGAAAGCAATAGAGCGCTTCCTATTGCTATACTCATAATAATAATAACTCTTTGTAGATTTAAGAAAGCATAATATGACAATATTCCGTTGAAAAAGCTTTGGGAAGTATTAGAAAAGATCAATATCAACTTAGAACTAATAAAGGCAGCTAAAAAGCTCTATAGTGATACAAAGACCCAGATCAAACAGGGAAGTATAATCAGTAAAGGCTTTACAGCAACTGAAGAACAGGGGTGCTGCATATCACCAACACTTTTTAAAATATAATTAGTTTCATTCAATCTAGTGGCCCCCCTTTCTATACTTAGGTCAACTACAAACTGAAAACATCCGAAAATAGATGGGCAGATTATGAAAATTATCCCCGAACAATTCACTACCTATCCATTTAATTTTAATTAAGCCATTTGTAGTCCAACGCCGTTGCGGTCCAGATTTCGGAATGGAAAAAGCCGATGCATTTGAGGTTTCCAGAGAAAAGGCGAAGGAAAAACATTTTAAAATCGGGTTTTGGCAGTCGTGCCAATTTCCGGTTGCTCTATACTAAAACAAACTCCGGGCAATTCGTAGTTTCCGGCTACATTGGAATCGAAAGCCAACGGTACACGATTTTTATCTTTACGGATTATTTTGGATTTGGTTGATGGAGAAAATTTAAGCTGATTGAAATTTTTTGTTTTGTTAAACTCATGATTGCCTTAAATATTTCACCTTGTTGGTATTATAGTTGTTTTGCTTTATTTTCAATTCATACTTAACCTAATTTAAATTCATGTGTTGAGAATTTCATGACACAAGCCCGTTACTCTTAATTTAACAAGATTTATAATTTTACCGTACCCGCATTATCAAAATAAAAACATTGAGATTTATAGCAAGCTAATTCTTTTAATATTACCATAATATAAACGTAACATTAAAGGGCCGTACAAGCAACTAAAAACTATGAAGCTGTCAGCTATCCAGGCTGCTTATTAAATCAAAAAGCAATTTATTTGGTCTAGGGAATTTTCTTCAGACCTGGGTGGTATTAAATATTACCGCGACTACTGAAAGAATCTAACAGGCGGCAATGCTAAGAATCCATTCAATGCTAAAACCATGGCGTGCAGGAAATATTTTGTATTTATTCGCATAAGCAACTTTTAGCTTTGAGGTGGTCAACAGCTTTAGCTTGTATGTATGCAAGAGTCTCGACGTTGACAGCCCGCGACGAAACCTAAAGATTAAACTTGCATTTTATAATATTATGTTTACTTGACTTTTACTAATTATTCCTTAACGATTTTTGAGTTTAGTAACTTCTTCCCATTTGACAGGTGAATGCGAAGTTTATAAAATGCAGTGAAGCTTCCGGAATTAAATTGAAATTGCTATGGCTTTTATAAGACGAATCGGTACGGTATATACCTAGCAGGTTTTATAATTTAAATGGGAATTCTTTGACAAGTATTTCAAGTTGGATTTATTTTAGATTGTGAATGTTCTAAGGCTGTTTAAAAAGTCTTGAGACTCTGTTTCATCTCCACGCGAAGGTAAAATTTAATATATCATATTATAGAAAATATGTACCTACCCAGAATAGTAAGAAGCGGTATGTACCCATTTGTTTCTATGGTAGTAACATCTAAGATACTACCCTTGTCTCCTAGAATTGTTCATATACTTCTTTGAAAATAATTACCACCATATATCACCGCTTAGGGCAAAAAGTCAGTAACGTTTTTGTGCTTTATAATATAATAGCACGAAACAATAAATAATGCGCTGCTGAGCTAACAGAGAGACAATGCAATAGATTAAGAATATTTTCAGCTTAATGATATATTATAGAAATAGTTTATTAGAGAAAATTATGTGTTTCTGCTTAATCTAGCAAAGCTTTTTCACTCAACGAAAGATTCAGGATTCTAGTAAGTGACTATCCTTAACTGAAATAAGATTTTTATTTACTATGTGACTTTTGCCGAAAACTCTTAGGTGAATCTTTTTGACCGTATAATTCGTATTTTCGACAAAAAGGAACTTTCATGGAGGAGATATACGAACTGATGAGAAAGTCGGCCGAGAAGATCAAGGCACCGGAAACTAGACTCTTTGTTTTGGGCAAATGTTGTGTGACACGCTATTGTCCTATGATATACAGGGTGATTCCAGAATGGCGTATAAGCTCCCCACTACGTCGTGGAGGACCCTTCAAGGAACCCCAGAAAAAATAGTTGAAATAATATAATATAATATTGGTTTGTTTATAGAAATCTAAGATAGGAATGTAAAATCGGTTTTTCTCTAAAATGAACCGTTCAGGTTTTACAGCCTGTCAAAATTGCAAAAAGTCAATTTTCAACTGTCAATATTTCTAAAACAGTTGAACTTAGTTATAGGATATATCACATGAAATCTGCTCAGAATTTTACGTAGAATCCAAATATGTAATCACATACAGGGTGTTCCATTTAAAATAGCGCTGTTGCCACTGGTTTAGAGTAGAAGTGGCAACACCGCATAAACAAAAATATTTTTAAAGGGTAGATCATGGTCGTTTATCCCGGTTGCCAAATTTTCAAAATGATCCGCTTTTTAGTTCTCCATAAACGTCTGATACGCCATCCACCGTGGGATACCCTGTACAGGGTGGCCCATTTTCGATGTTTTAATGGACTTTGGAACAGAATTTTACGTAGAATCCAAATATGCAATCACATACATTTAAAATAAGCAAGTTGACGTCTACTTCCGGTATTACCGGAAATGCCACCACCTTGAAAAGATTTTAGCCAGGTTGCCCCAATTGACAGTATACACTGTCAAATTTTCAAAAATTTTGTGCATACTAAGAAGAAGACTAAAATTGATGTTACAAATGTTGAACACGTGTATGTATGTTATAGAAGTAAGTCATCTGAATTTGTTTTGCGCTGTAGGTATCTACCTATAAAAAAAATTCCACCTTAGTTTGTTGATGTACAGGGTGTTTCCTTATACAGGGTGTCCCACGGTGGAAGGCGTATTAGACGTTTATGGAGAACTAAAAAGCGGATCATTTTGAAAATTCGGCAACCGGGATAAACAACCATGGTCTACACTTTAAAAATATTTTTGACCATGCGGTGTTGCCGCTTCTACTCTAAACTAGTGGCAACATCACTATTTTAAATGGAACACCCCGTATTAAATTGCATATTTGGATTCTACGTAAAATTCTAAGCAGATTTCATGTGATATACCCTATACCTAAGTTCAACTGTTTTGGAAATATTGACAATTGAAAATTGACTTTTTGCAACTTTGACAGGCTGTAGAACCTGAACGGTTAATTTTAGAGGAATACCGATTTTACATTCCTATCTTAGATTTTTATAAACTATCATTTGACACCAACTTAGAATTAAATCCATGATTAAAAATTTCAGTTAAATTTAATCTCCGGTTAAGTTCAAAGTTGGTGTCAAATGATAGTTTATCAAAATCTAAGATAGGAATGTGAAATCGGTTTTCCTCTAAAATTACCCAATTAGGTTTGACAGCCTGTCAAAGTTGCAAAAAGTCAATTTTCAACTGTCAATATTTCCAAAACAGTTGAACTTAGGTATAGGGTATATCACATGAATTCTGCTCAGAATTTTACGTAGAATCCAAATATGCAATTTAATACGGAGTGTTCTATTTAAAATAGTGATGTTGCCACTAGTTTGGAGTAGAAGCGGCAACACCGCATGGTCAAAAATATTTTTAAAGTGTAGATCATGGTCGTTTATCCCGGTTGCCAAATTTTCAAAATGATTCGCTTTTTAGTTCTACATAAACGTCTAATACGCCATCCACCGTGGGACACCCTGTATTCTGTTCCCTACCTAAAACTTTAAATACGAAAGTTGTAAGGTTTTATGTCTATTATCTTTTGCGAATGTCAAAATGGGCGAATGACAGGTCCCATCTGTCACAATGACAAACACTTGCATTTTTCAAATGGAACATCCTGTATATTTTTGGCTAAAATGGTAGCTTTTTTCCTTCTGATTCTAAATATACCATATACGTTGATATATGGTTCAGTTGTTTTTGCGCTATTAAATTTTGAAATTGCATTGAGCAAACCTCAGCATTGATATAAGAAACCAGAACAGATTAAATAAAGGGTAATGTAAATGCATTTTTAAACTTGAATAGCGTAAAAATAGCTCAACCAAATATCAACATACAGGGTGTGTATTTTAAGTGATACCACTATGGCTATATCCAAAACGGTAAGAGCTACAAGGTCGGTTAAATTAGAAAAAAACTTGCCTTTTTTGATGCCCATTCAAGACTTGTCTACAGTGTTGCCAAATTCCTTTTAGTTTATGAAATACAGGGTGATTTGTAAAAAAGGCCTGAAATTAATTCATCAATTATTTCGAAAACTATTGATATTCGAGACACAATTTGAATTTGAAAGTTTTAGAATCTTTTTCGCTCAACAACATGGCATCTTCAAATTTTAAATCCGACGTTTCGTGATCGAGCTACCATCAACTTTATTTTTTAAAATACGGATCTGGATTTTTTATATCATTTTTGGAAAGGGAATGAAAGGCGCTTCCGAAAAATGACATAAAAAATTCAGATCCGTATTTGAAAAAATGAAGTTGATGATGATATCTCGATCACGAAACGTCGGATTTAAAATTTGAAGATGCCATGTTGTAGAGCGGAAAAAATTATAAAACTTTCAAATTTAAATGGACCTCTTGCATGAATTTTTTTTATTTGCTTATTGGAAAGAGGAGTCAAAATAAAGCTCAACTGTATTTTTATCCGATTTTTTTCGGACTTGCAAAGGCTCTAAATTTCTATTTGAAGTTCCAATTTCTTGGTGCCGTGACGTCACGGCACCAAATTTCTGATTGGTCAATTTTATTCAGTGTTGCCCAGATGTCAAGAATTTCATGTAAACTTTTCCTGGGGGCGACAACTGAATCGATATATCGATAGCCTAGTTCTAATATGACCTAACCCACAAAATCTCTGAAATTCACTTTTTGATAAATATCATTGAAGGGCTCCATTTTCTATCATTTGATAATATGTCTTAAGCAACATTATAAATTTAATATATTTTTCCGGCCTGTTCTAATATATGGTATCAAAGTCACCTGATTTTTTTAGTTCCAATAAGACGTATCCCTCAGTATACCCTTGTTTTCGGTCCGCGCGCGCCATGCCGTTTGTGTATTTCAGTGGTGGGCATTTTCATAGATATTTATATGCATTTTATAATTAAATAATACTTTTAAGGTAAGTACTTATGAATAAGAACCGCAAATCAGCGATTTTCGCATAATATTTCGTTTGTTAATTACAAAAAAGTCTTTATTCAAAATAGTATTGGGATACGTCCTATTAGATTAAGATCTGAAAGTGGTGGGATAGGTCCTACTAGATCTTGATCTAATAGGATGTATACCATTACCTACTTACCCTAAAAAATAGGCGATTACGTCAGTTACGACAAACTAGAATAATTTTTTAATGGAAAACTTAAAAGGGTGTCAACGTATTTTTCTCCTTTAGATACCTAGTTGATTTTTTTTTAAAATCATGTCTGATCGTTTCATAAGTGGAATTATTATTTTCACGACGTTGAATTTTTGATATTTCTAGATGTATGGTAACAGTAGAGGAGCAAAACTGCTTGCATTAGTTTTGGAGGATGAAAATAATCCAGTGTCAAATGCTGCAGCTAATCTGAACGATCTTGAACCTTTTGTAACTTATAATTTCAAAGTAAATAATTCGGATGATCAAAAAGTTGATGAACAACCTTATCAAATTATACAAGAAGTTGAAGAATATGATATTTCTCCTGTACAACATGTCCTGCCATTAGAATCTTCCCGAATATTATCACCTTTACTCATTGAAAACCAAACTATTAATAATACCCTGCCTACAGATAATAATGACATTTTATTATCTTACGAAGAACAAACTAATAATGATGACCTGGTAGCAAATAATGATAATAATATTGATCTCATATTTATGACAGAATCAGAGACCGAAATAGCTACATTACAAGAAAACTTGCCCGAAAAGTTCATAAATAATAGAGCCCCATCGCCTGCTAATGCGGATACTTTCAAAAACAATAATAATATTATAGACATTATCAATGAATATGACAATAATTTGCGAACAAATCAAATTGAATCTGGTTTGGATGAATCGAACGATAATAATCCCGATTATGCACCCTTGCTAAATGATGATGATGATGATGGTGACGACGATAATGACAATAATTCCCAAACAGATCACAATGAATTTGATTCAGATAGATCCGACGTTATTGACTCCGATAATGTACTCGTGCAAGATAGCGAAGAAGACGAGACTGAAAAATTGCCATTAAAAAAGAGAAGGAAGGTAGCGGACAGAAACAGTTGGGATAAGTACGTAAATCAGAAAATGAGAATGCATGGAAACGAATACATAGGTTATACCAGGAAAAATGGAGTAGTAAAACACAACATAAAAAGAAACCAAAGACAGATAGGCCCCAAATATGAATCTAACTTTTGCAAACGAGCGTCCAACAGACACTGTAATTTGTTTACTGAAGAAATCAGGGAAACAATTTTCGACAAGTTTTGGGCTATGGATTGGGAGCAGAAAAGATTGTATATTGTTCACATGGGTAATTATACGGAAAAACATCGAAGTTATGTACACACTCCTTCCAGAAGAACTGGGTCATTTCAGTATTACTTAAAACATGAAACTGGAAAATTTCAAGTTTGTAAAAAAACTTTTTTGGGAACTCTTGGAATTAAAGAAAAAAATGGTTGTGAATTGGATTAACGAAGGGAAAAAGTTTGGACGAAAAAAAGATGGAAAAAAAAGAACATCTAAATTATTTGCAGATACCAAAGAAAGAAGGAAACACCTAGAGAATTTTTTTAATGAACTGCCAAAAATGGAAAGCCATTATTGTCGGGAAAATACTGATAAATTGTACTTGGAAGAAGATTTTAAATCCAAAACGGAAGTTTACGAATTGTATAAAGAGAAGTGCATAGCAGATTCAGTTACACCATTATCCATGTTCTCGTTTTCAAGGGAAATGGACGCCAACAATATAGGGTTATTTAAGCGACGCAAAGATCAAGGTGATCTTTGTTTTGCTTACAAAATAAAGCAGATTGAAGAATGTGAATACCAAGAGCATATCAAAGCAAAGGCAGCAGCACGAGACCAAAAAAGCGTTGACAAGAAAAATCGGAAGCAGACTTAATCTACTGTTTTACAATAGATGTGCAGGCTGTGAAGTTGTGCCCAAAACTAGAAGTTAGCACTGCTTATTACAAAACCAAATTGCAAGTGCACAACTTTACTATGTACAATTTGAAAACACATCAAAGTAAAAACTTTATGTGGAACGAGTCTGAAGGCGAACTATGTTCCTCAGTTTTTGCAACTTGCATAGTTAAACATTTAGAATCGTTTTTAAATATTAAAGTTAAGCCTGTTGTTTTATGGTCAGACAGCTGTGGATACCAGAATAAAAATAACATTCTGTCAAATGCTTTGTCTCTGCTAGCTACAAAATACAGCGTAACTGTCGAGCAAAAATATCTTGAGAAGGGTCACACTCAAATGGAGTGTGACTCTACTCATAGTCTTATCGAGAGGCGCCTTAAAGGAAAAGACATGTATTTACCTACTGATTACATAAACATTATTAAAGATGCAAGGAAAAATCCATTTCCATTAGATGTAGAATATTTAAATCATACGTATTTCCTAAACTTCGAAGATATAAACTGCAAGAGATACAATTCCATCCGCCCTGGAAGTAAGAAAAATGACTTGAAAGTCAATAATTTAAGATGCCTAAAATATGAAGCTAATGGAGAAATATTTTATAAGTGCAAATTCGCAGATAATTACGAGCTATTACCTCAGCGGCAAAAAGCAGTTGATATCAATTATGTACCTAAACCCCTGTACCAAGAAAGGCTCAAAATTAAAAAAGTAAAATGGACTCACTTGCAGGAGTTTAAAAGTGTATTGCCTAAAGATGTACATTTTTTTTATGATGCCCTACAATATGAAGAAAAAGGGAAAGTGAAAGAATGTGGAAAACCAAAAACCGTCGAAGAAGATCCAGATGAAATATCTGACAGCGAGAAGCCCAAAGTAGAACGCAGCATTGGCAAAAAGTAAGAAAAATATCACCTTAAAAGCATTAAGTACTAACCAAGTATTATTTTCAGGCCAACTACAAAATCTGAAAAAGCTGCTAACAATATTAAAATGAACCAGGTAGCGAAGGTTAAACTTAATTATAAAATAAAACAAAATCAAAAGTCGGGAAAAGAGAATAAAAAGTAAAATACATTTATTTTCTAGTTATAATAGGCCTTTCAATGTTTTTTTTTTCTAGGAAACCTGAGGAATGCAGAAAGTCTGATAGAACCAAGAAATAATTAAAAACAGTGCAGCATAAAAAATTATACAATTATAGCTATCAAAGTCTATGAAATAAACAAAAATTTACGAATTGATTTAGGTATTTGGTTATTTATTATGCATGTTGTTTTAATAGACTGTGAGATAGGGGCTATTTAGTGGAGTAATTTTTTTTTGTCTGGCATTTTGAGGGCTGAATGTGGCTACTAAGCTGATGAGAATATCGGTGATTTTAATGCCTGCCTCCCGTTCGAAAATTTGCAGAAGAAAAAAATTGATTCACATGAAGAATTTTTTTTTAAATGATCTCAAATTTTTTGGCTTCTAAATAAAAGGTTGACTTTGATGAATAGTTCACCCATAAAAAATACCAGATGCTTTTCAATAGCTGAAAAAGTGAGGATGAGTGTCAACTTCCAAGAGGAAAGAAAAGAACCTTCCGCGTTTACTTTTTGTCTGGTAATCGAGAGAATGGAAGGTTTTGTTGTGAAAATAACGCTGAAAGATCGCCAGACGATAATCACAGTTCGAAGTCAAGTTTTCTGGTGAAACATTCTGTGGACATTTCGAACAGGGGGCAGGCATTAAAACCACTTATATTATCATCAGCTAACTAGCCACATTCATCCCTCAAAATGCCAGATAACAAAAAATGACTCCACTAAACAGGCCCTATCTCAGGGTCTATAATGACAGATGTTTTCATCAAAAAAGACGATCCTCTGTAATACTGTCAACTATTTACTTTCAATACAATGTATCTTATCTCAAATATTCTCAAGAAGTAAACAAGACGTATCCTACTTTTTAAGTGCAAAAAGTCGTATCCAACATTAGTCTCAAATTACAGTACGTCGTATCCAACACACAGGTTAGGGGCGTTTTGATATAAGAAAATATTTTTATAAAAAAGTCGTAACTAATCTCAAATATAGAGCTATAAGCACCAAAAATTCTAAATACTCAATTACATTGAAAACAACAAGTTTTTTTCCTCTACTGTAAAATTTGTATTTTAGGGGATACGCCATATTAGAACTTAGGTATCGATATCGAATTCACAGATTTGTAAGTATCGGATGGAATCGATTCTCATCCCTATGGAAAACTTAACCCAACTTTTCAATTCATTTATTATAATCATTATTTATTTTTATTTATTTATTATTAGCCTCTCCAAAACAGACAGAAGGCAGAGAAGGCACACAAACCATCAAGAAACAAACAATAAACCCGAGCATAAGGACATTATGTCGTTCATAATTGAATACCCCTGGTACTCATTTACTAGTGAGTGTGTGCTTCTAAATTTTAGAGGTTTCTACCTAATAAGCATATAAGGGAATCATTATTTGTAGAAGGTTGCTCTACTCCACCTGCATTTTACTAATACCTATCTACCGAGTACCTAAAGTCTGTTTTTTTTTTTAAAGATAATTGGGATTATTTTCCTTAGTGGTTTATGGGAAATAAAACACGAGTATAATTTTTATGTGTGTGTATCCATACCTTCCAGTTTCCCTAAAGACCTTTTCAAATTTTCCCAGGGAAAAACATCATTTCTCTTTTTTCTTCAAATTATACTGCCCCAGCCTACTGTTTTTTGTTGTTAATTAGTCTATTTTGTGATGATAGGTATAAATTGGCCAGCCAGGGGTCACTGACCTATGGTAAACAAAAATCGCTTTTATCGTTTTCGTACTTTATACTGTGCCGGATTAGTACAGATATCAATTTCTTTGTTTATTTCGCATTTATAGACAAGGAAAAAAAATTGTCGATACTAGTCGATACTTCAATTATTAGATGTCGTTCTCCTCTTTCAAGCTTCAAGTGAAAAGTAGAGCTGTACCAAAGTCGATACGCAAAGCGATTTTGATAAATATATGCCTCCTTTTTTGTCCGATGTGTTCAAAAAGAAAAAAAAAATGATTCGTTTGGAACATGGAAATTTGACAATCAGTAATTTTTGATTGGTGGAAAAATATAGCGCAAAATTCAAATAATCTGCTTTTTTTTTCCTTCAATTTCTGGCTTCAAGATTTAAAAAAAAAATTACCAACCCTACTGTTATGTAGTTCATAAAATACACTTTCGTTACAGATAAATTATATACCTAATTTTGATTGAGTGCAAGAAGTCTATTATTTCTCGAAAATCAATAGTTTTCGAGATAATTGATGGAATATTTTTGGACGTTTCTTAAAAATCACCCTGTTTTTCATAAAAAAAAAGGAATTTGGCAACACTGTAAACGAGTCTTAAATGGGCATCAAAAAAGTCAACTTTTTTCTAATTTAACCGACCTTGTAGCTCTCACCGTTTCGTATATAGCAATAGTGGTATCACTTAAAATATACACCCTGTATATGGTATATTTGGAATCAGAAGAAAAAAAATCTATCGTCCTAGCCAAAACTATACAGGGTGTTCCATTTGAAAAATTCAAGTGTTTGTCATTGTGACAGTTGGCACCTGTCATTTGCCCATTCGGAGATTCGCAAAAGATAATAGACATAAAACTCTACAATTTTTATACTGTAAGTTTTTTTCCACCTTGTATAGCTAAAGCTGTAGGTATGGGTCAAAATATAAGGAAACACCTTATATGTCAATCAATCGAATCAAGTTTTAAATTGTATCCAATTTAGCTTATTGCGCTGTCCAACGAACCTACGGAATATGACAGAGTCAAAATGGCGGCCAGGTTTACACTAAACACTGATTTATGCCGTTCATTTATTTCAAAATCTTACAAAACATCACTTTACAGTGTAAAGCGGGCTGATGAATGACCAATAGTAACAAACCTTTTTAAAGGTTTTGTTGTTTTTCACTCCGTAGGTTGGTTGGACAGAGTAGCGATTTCAATTTACCACCAGCGAGTGTCGTCTAACCAGCGAGTGTGCGGGTAATTCTCCGGCTAATAATTTAATAGAGTGTCTAAATTATAAGGTATTACAATAATTTTAGTAAAGTGAACACTATCATGAATAGCAGGAATGCTTTTCGTGACTTGGTGTTTTCATTCATTGCAAGAGCCACTGATATGATTTTGAGTAATAGTTCACCATATGTGAACTAGAAATTGTGTGCTTAATAGCACCTCTTGTATTGTCAAAAGGGGACCGGTATATTCAAAGCGTAATGAGACAATTTACTAATGCATTTTTTCTATTTTCAGGTAAGAAGTGAAAATAAGGCAAATTTTCAAAACACCTTGCCATAGCGTAGGTATCTCAAAACGTTAGGTAAGTTACTAAGTTTTACTTTAGTGTAATAATCTTTTCTACTCTATTGCGTTGCAAATAAAATAATACATACATTATCTGGTAAAGATAATAGAGTAACAAGAGAACAAATTAGTAAATGTAGAAATCCTAAAAAATTGAATATTGAAATTACCAAAAGTCAAGATTTGAAAGAAGGAGCAATTAGAATTGTATTGACCAAATAAAACACAAAGTCTGTCTCCACAAATAAACTATAATTGGGATGGGAACTTGCGCCCTTGATCTGAAAGAAGTTCCAATGGTATTCCAAACCTAGTAAAAATATTACCTATTCACGAGTTTATATATTAAAATACAAACTTCACCTTACAAAGAAAGAAGGAACGATCAATTCTGAACTCGCCCCTGAATACAAATATGACGCAAGCCCCTAACAAACTCGCTTCTCATTGGACGCTCACCTGCGACCCACGAGGTGCGCCCGCAGTTAGGGTAAAAAAGATACGTCGATTGGAAACATTGAACAATTTTGTCCCAAGTCTGGGAAAATAACCATTTATATGGAGAGGTTAGAACAGTTATTTGTTTGTAATGCTATCGAAGAAGAAATGAAAGTGTCAAAACACATGATGTCCTGAAAACTAAATTAGTCGAGCATTATAGTCCCATCAAAAGGTTCTAAATAGCGAAAAAATTTAAGTTTTGGATATCTGTACAAAAACCAGGTGAAGATGAATTGTTTGATGATTTTTTATAATTTGCCAATCTATTTGCATCGATGTTCTCAGCTTGAAGTTGTCCTTATTCTAAGAAGGGCACCACTAGATTGAATGAAACTAATTCAGAAATTTTAAAGAATAGTCAATCTGAGCATTATTAGACTAGTCATGTTCAAGTCAGAAGATCATAATTGTGGAAATCTGTAAAAGTAAGCTAAATTCGAGAGTAACCCAAAATGTGTCTTTTATTGGTTTTGATTTGTAAAACTTGGAGATGGAGCCACACGCTATGAAAGGTTTATGTTTCTCTGAGTTGGTATGATTTGAACAGTTGAATGATCTAAAAAAAATATCCTTGTTTCCAGTTGACTTTAATGTGTCCTATTTTTTCAATAGATAATTTTTGATACCACATACAAACCTGCTAGAATAGCGCCAGTGTATGATTTGACCTGACGCACATCTCTGATGCCTCGCTTGTCTAAGCTCTGAACAGTGACAATGATGATAAAACAACAAAAATACTTATAGCGATTTCCATTTGTAGAATCATTGTATAAAAAAATGTTTCCTTATTTCATGTTAGATGCTCTAGAAAAACATGCGGATACATTCCATGACAATATGACCGACCACAATGGACATTGAATTGTCTTTGAGAGTATTTGTGAGTGGCTCAAATACACAATTAATGTGAAAATCAGCGCAAGAATTCACAAGTATAGTTTTGTGCTTGTTAATTACGTGAAATAATTGTGAATATAGTCGAATTCCTTGAAGATTTGGCATTGTTTAGAAACTAGGGTTTTTGCAGCGTTGCCATTGCATCTCGTCAGAATTTCTTGAGAATTATGGAAGAGTTGCTAAAACTAGAACTGTCCTGATATGGTGCAGGGATTGCATGAAGAAGTTTTCTGAATTCTATAATGCGGGTAAGAATTTAGATAATCCCGAGGACTCTGCGAACTCTACACAATTGCTAACTAGTAATAATGAAGTAACCACACGCCTATACTTAATGAAATCCTGGAAGTGCTGGAAGGACTTTTAATTGAAAAGTTTGAT